TGTGTGGTGTTGTTTGTGTGTGTGTGTGATGTTGTTTGTGTGTGTGTGATGTTGTTGTGTGTGTGTGTGTGATATGTTGTTTGTGTGTGTGTGTGATGTTGTTTGTGTGTGTGTGATGTTGTTTGTGTGTGTGATGTTGTTTGTGCCTGTGTGTGTGGTGTTGTTTGTGTGTGTGTGTGTGTGATGTTGTTTGTGCCTGTGTGGTGTTTGTGTGTGTGTGTGATGTTGTTTGTGTGTGATATGTTTGTGTGTGATGTTGTTTGTGTGTGTGTGATGTTGTTTGTGTGTGTGTGATTGTGTGTGTGTGTGATGTTTGTGTGTGTGATGTTGTTTGTGTGTGTGGTGTTGTTTGTTTGTGTGTGATGTTGTTTGTGTGTGTGGTGTTGTTTGTGTGTGTGTGTATGTTGTTTGTGTCTGTGTGTGTGGTGTTGTTTGTGTGTGTGTGAGATGTTGTTTGTGTGTGTGTGTTGTTTGTGTGTGGTGTTGTTTGTGTGTGTGATGTTGTTTGTGTGGTGATGTTTGTGTGTGTGTGATGTTGTTTGTGTGTGTGGTGTTGTTTGTGTGTGTGTGAGATGTTGTTTGTGTGTGTGATGTTGTTTGTGTGTGTGGTGTTGTTTGTGTGTGTGAGATGTTGTTTGTGTGTGTGTGTGATGTTGTTTGTGTGTGGGTGTTGTTTGTGTGTGTGTGAGAGATGTTTGTGATTTTTGTGTGTGTGTGATGTTGTTTGTGCCTGTGTGTGTGGTGTTGTTTATGTGTGTGATGTTTGTGGTGTGTGGTGTTGTTTGTGTGTGTGATGTTGTTTGTGTGTGTGTGTGATGTTGTTTGTGTGTGTGATGTTGTTTGTGTTGTGTGTGTGTGTGATGTTGTTTGTGTGTGTGTTGTTTGTTGTGTGTGATGTTGTTTGTGTGTGTGTGGTGTTGTTTGTTGTGTGATGTTGTTTGTGTGTGTGTGTGATGTTGTTTGTGTGTGTGGTGTTGTTGTTTGTGTGTGGTGTTGTTTGTGTGTGTGTGTGATGTTGTTTGTGTGTGTGGTGTTGTTTGTGTGTGTGTGTGATGTTGTTTGTGTGTGTGGTGTTGTTTGTGTGTGTGTGTGATGTTGTTTGTGTATTTCGCTAACCGTTACCATGGCAGCACCTTGTCATTTTGCGGGATTTGGAAGAGACGGTGAAGACAAAGAGACAGTGAAGACAAAGAGACAGTGAAGAAAGAGCAGTGAAGACAAAGATAGGACAAAGCAATATATTTATTTTCCTGCAGGGTTGTGAAGAGTAATAATGTTGATAGATACAATTATTTTCGTATCATCATCATCATCATCTTTGTTTTTGTGTTTAATGCTGAGTCACGTTCACAATGACTCTTTCTAATGTACAAAAATAAACCTCAAAATAACACTAAAGTTTCTACTTTAACTAGATACGTTTATTTAACACTGTGAATGTCTCTAGTTAAGGTAGAGTTTTGTTATATTTTGTTTAGTTTACCTCACCAGGTGCATTCTTATAGCTTGTGGTACGAGAAATATTGATCATGCGAACCTTTCAGAGTCTGGGCCTTGGATATATAAATATTTCTCGTAAAATATAACTGCTCTGAATTCTTAGAAAAATCCCGGTC